TTTAGTCAAAAGTTGATAAGTCTAGCCTTACTACCATGGTCTTAGTTTAAGCCTTAAAAGTCTCGTTTTTATTCTTCGCCATTCGTGTTTCTCAATATTTTATTCCCCACAACTGAACCATCTAGGGCTGGTTACAGTATGTATTGACTTTTCAACAGTGTTCAACAAAACCGCGTTCCTGAAGCCATTTGAAATCTAGCCTTCCCTGGTCATGTCGAACACTATTTGCTGTTAACAGCGTCAAGAAGCCTCTAAAGCCTACAAAACTTTTCATCTGATCTACTTCAAGAAAACACCGACCTTGCTAGCAGATCTCAGCAGTGATGCGCTTGCCCACCAAGGCTCTTTTATAACCCGCACACAGTATTTTAGTATAATTCGACTCCTACGCAGCGTTGACTTCGCTCCCTAATTTCACAGCTGAATTAATCATGTCACTAAGTTCTTCGTTGAGTCGTATTCTTCTTTTTTTTTCACTATTAAACGAAATAAGAAAACTCGGTGAATAGATTTACAAGAGTTAAAAATAAAAGGGATAAACTCCAAAAATCACTCATTTGGCGTTCCTTGCTTTGCAACAGCTTAAACTTTGCTTGAAATAAAATACAGTAAAAACCTGCATATAATAACCTAGTGATTTAAAAACCTTCAGGCTGAAATTTGGCATTTAAATACCCAAAAATTCAAGAACCTGTTTTTGTGTTATACGTCATTTCCGCCTCTCCCTTTTAAACAATTTTTCTTGCGACATTCTCCATCTATATAATGTTGTGATTGCTACATAAGTTCAGTAACATCTGTAAACCACTTCTTCCGACCATACCGGTCGGCTTTATAACAATATTTTTTGTTATGTGCAACAAAATTTAGTCGAAACGTCATCAGAAACCTGAAGAGCAAGAACCAACTTTATATTTTGGCTGATTAGATCTCTTTTCTAGAGATCCAACGTTTACAACTAGAAGGATCTTCGTCCACGGTTTTTGCAGTTAATTTAATCCTTTATTATTAAGAACCTGTTCCTAGCAAAGAAAAATAGGTTTTTATAGAAAACAATCACATCAATTTTGATGGTCAAAATTCTCGATTTTAATTGTGTGAAAAACTTTTGACAAAGGTTTGTTATTGTGTATATGTTTTATTTGATTTACATTTGTCTGGATTTTCACTAGAGGTATGTTTTCCATAAAGCTACCGTGAAATATAGACGATTTAAAATCTTAAAATCTTATTTTAAAAAATATAGAAATGTATTGGTGTTGTTCTTGTACCTTAATTGCTTGCCATTATGTATTAGTTGTACAATATTTCTGCCAATGGTTACACTATGACAACCTCTAAAAAATAAGAACCTGTTTAGAACCTAATCAGCCTAAATTGTGAAAAACTACCCTAAAATATAAGAACCTATTCAGGCTGACCTCGAAATTTCTAGGTTCTTATCTGGGTTTTTACTGTATCCTGATGTATGTATCGTTTAAGCAGTCCAAAGACCAGGGCTAGAAAGATTTGCAACAAAACTTTTAATTGCAGCGTATTCTTAGTCCGAAATACGATCAATGGAACGCACCCCAGTAAGAAGAAAACAACACTTGAAACATTTACGTTTTCTACCTTGAAATAACCTTTGTTAAACAGATTTAGTAGTTAGATATATACATATATAAGGACACGTTTGATTCACAGTATTGCACAAGATGAAACAAAGTGTGATATTATAATAATATAATGTCTTCAGTTTGGCACATCATGTTACAAGTCAAAATGTTTAAAGGGACATGTAACAACCCTGTCAGCAAAAAAGGAAAAACGCGTCCTTACGCATCTATCTGACTTTTATGGGTCTGAGATAAGATGACAAAACTCTTTGTAAACTCTGATTATTTCCTTCCTGCCTTGAATGCCGAATAGTATTTGCACTGACAAGTCTAGGTATATTTAGTCTGGACAGTTAAAGGCGGTATATGTTTATATTGCTAGGTTATTAAGTTGCATTCTGCTTAGAAAGGCTTAACTTGAGTGATCAATGAGATACAGTGATATTGAAATCCTTGTTTTCCTTCAGATGGGCAAGCCAAATTCAGCAACGGCTTATTTACTAGCTTCACGAGGAAAATTTTGCAAAATCAGTCTTGAGACTGAATATGAATTCTCTCCATTGCTGTAAACAACGAAACGTGTCGACATTTGATATTTGTTTTTTACAGAAGAGTGCATCGCGGTTTTAAAATAAATAAGCATAATTAATTACTACGCGAATGGAAACTAGCCAAATAGACCTAAAAATAGGTAACCGCCAGTTCGTGGCAACATTCAAACTCTGCCAAAAAAACTCATTTAAAAACTGTAAGAACTTTTTATAAATAGATATTCTAATCGAATTATCAGCAGCTGTGGTTAGGACTATACTTCAGTCGCTAGACGGGTTCGCGATCCCCAGCTAGGGCCGGAGCAATACTCAGGGTCCTTAGGTAAATGGGAAATGAAGGTACTACTTGTCCGTCCTAATGGCTAAGACTAATAACCACGTAAAATGGCTGTCCCGTCTCCAGTCAGAAATAGTGTCCTCGACTGGTACTTTTGTGCTAAATGTATTTACAAATTGCGTTTTATTTTTTGTGTGACGCCGGTTGAACCCCAAGACGTTTTTTTGTTAGCTTTTGTTATTGTTTTCTATAACAAGCACAGAACATTTCCGGTTGATCTTGTTTTCCTCGATGGAGTATAGGAATTTCTTTTTTCGGTGTGTGATTTTTTGATAAATTCACTTGATTTAACTCTTTTTCCTAATCCAGTTGAAATTGATTTAAAATCCACATTTACACCTGTAAACGATGTCGTTTAAGTCGTAATATGCTGAATCCGTTCGTTTTTTATTTGCGCCGGCTAGCAGGCATTTCAGTGGTAAGAGAAAAATCAAATGCTTGAGAGCGCCTGCCACTTGACTTTGCGCTATATGCAAGCGGTCTGAGTTTTTGGAGTTCACTTTGTTCACATAATCGATTCGACCTGGCTGTTTACAGTTAATGAAAATAATGACTGTTGAAACGATTCCAAATTTACCAGCCTTCAAATAAAGAAATAAAATTGATTTATATATACACTTCTTGCGTACTCTATGTTACATCTAGCTGGATTTTTGAAATCGCTACGGCGCTAAAATCAACCTTGTTACACAACCAGTGTTTTTTTTTCTGTCCTCGGGCTAATACTATCCCCAAAGTAGCAAACACCGCTTTTAGCTATTTTTGACTACATTTTCAAAACAAAACCACATCTACAATAGTAGACAACAACATAAAGCAGTGAATGTGCTTCGATATTAAAGCAGATTTCGCAACCGCATTAACCCACAAAACCACTAATTACTGTGCTACTCAGAGTGTCACAGTGTGAAACGGAGGCGATCTCAAGTGAGTACAAAATTCATGAACATGTCACCATGAAATGCAAAAAATACAATAACATTTTCGAAAGAATTTTTTTTTCGATCAGGGTACTGATAACTTTTATTATTTTACTTGCGAGAAACCATTTGTTTATAAGAAATTATTTTCGATGATGAATAATCGATGAGTGCAGTAGGCTTAGCTTTCGTCCTTTAGTTACAGATGAGATGTCGAAAAACAAACAAATCCAGTGTAAATGCAATAACGACAAAAATATCGTCACGTTGGAATTGGAATGAAGTGATTAATCGATCATTTCGCAATGAATGTTAGGCTCATGCATGTGTTAGTGCTATTAACCCCGGCGAAGGATGAACATGTAAACTTAGGATCTTAAGCATACAGCCAAAAATAAGGGGGTTCGTTCCGATCCAGTGTTTCTGCTTTGATGGATAAGTGAAAAAGAAAAATTGGTTTTTATTAACTCTTTGTTGATAGAGTATAAAATCAGCTGTAAAATCGGCCATGGTGGGGATAAGGAATAACAGATGGCATTTCATGCCTGCCAGGTTTTCGTTAGCGCCTACCATTCGAACCTACTGTCCTTTGGTGTCCTATGCTCTATAAACGTCAGCTCAATATCTTGAGAATCCGCACATTAAAAAGAGGTACTCATTTTGCAGTTTTAGAAACATAAAAGAACTGATCAGTTTCCAGTCATTTATTTCAGTGTTTCCCTGTAGGGCAAAACTAAACATGTCGACATGACTAGCCTGTTCCAGGCGTTTGGATAGTGCAGTGCCCCCTCACGGTTTTTTTTTTTCTTCTTCTTCTGCCAGGAGCCGATTATCGGCTCCTGCTTCTGCTCACATCTCTTTGTATGGTCCCCACGATCTGAACACCTGGAACAGGCTACGACATGACCAAACAGGTTTCCAGTCGCGAGAATTAAATATAAAGACCGGATCAGGATTTTGGGGGTAGCAAAACAGTCAATGTGCTTGCAGATATTATTTTGTTCACTCATTACTAAAGGATGACTATTTTTAATATCAGTTTTAAATGGGAAAATTTTGATGATCTATATAGCGATTACTCATCATATAGTTATTGTAAGATCAGCGTGTTCCGCAACAAATAAAGGTAATAACTTTTCTCGATGTATGACTAGAAGACTGAAGTAATAACTCAGTTCTAGGAAAACTGGGAACGTTGGTGCTCGAAACCAAAACTTATTCGTTCAAGGATCTTCGAAGTCTGTTTCTTTTCTATTTGTGATTTTAATATATGGCTTTTTTTTGTACAAAAACAGAACATATAATGTCATGCCAAGGTGAAAAATATTGTTCAGCTGATTTTATGATAGTTACACCATTCACTGTCTCAGTTGCTTAAACCCTTTAACTGCACGCTCAGCTGAAAGCTAAACAAAAAGTACTGACGTAAGGGTTTTGGGAAAAACAGTCAGAATCTTGTTTCGTGACGTCATTGCCATTTCTGCCAAAGCGCTTTGGAACAATGTTGGCGAGGAGGAGTGAAACCTTCAACGAAGCTACTTCAATCTGTTTCTTTAAAGCGTTTTTGTAGACTGACTAATGGCACACCTTTCAACCAAATGCAAAAGGGCAATTAAAAGCAATTATTTGTAGGAAGATGACCCGACCGAGCAGCCGGCTTTAGGCCCCCGCCACATATGACGTAATGCCTTATTGTTTTTGTTAATATTACGGGATGGACAATGAATGAAATTCGAATTCCCTCGGGCCAAGTAAATATTGAATTTCCAGCCGAGATAGACGATGAGTGTATGTGGAGACATGGCCGAGTTAGGCGCGCAAGAAAATAACGACGATTCTCCGCCAGTCGACGGTATTTTCGCTGCAGAATGTATCTTAAAAAAGCGAACGCGTAAAGTAAGAATATTCAGTTGTCGATAATGTTATCGATTCGGCGATGTTTCGCTCGCTAAGTGCTCCCTAAATGTGAATTTCTCTCTGTATTTTGACAGGGAAAGATCGAGTATTTAGTGAAGTGGAAAGGCTGGTCACCAAAGTAAGTTAAGTTGGGCTTCGGAGCGAAAAATGTTTTTCCGCTCAAGATTTAATACAATTTTTTCTTTAATTTCACAGACACAACACCTGGGAACCTGCCGATAATATTCTTGACGGTCGACTGCTTCTGGCCTACGAAGGCAGGTAAATTGGAGTGTTGAAATTCGTATGTCGTAATTCTGAGTTTTCCATCTGAATATACTTTAAAAATTACGCATATGATTGTCGCGTTTACTTGTTATCTGTATCAACTTGATTTTCAGCCGGAGACGAAGAGGAAAGCGTTCGAGATGGCAAAGAGGAATTGCAACTTCTGCGAAAAAGCCGAGGATTGAAACGGTTTGTGCTCAGTATGTTTTAGTGCAGATATATATATATATTGCAAATTAAATAACTCAGACCTCAGTTGCCACCACACAAGATCACGACAAGCGCCCAACTAAAAATACTGCAAAATTATAAATTAATGTCACGGCCTAGTTTAGGTAAATTTTCCTTGTCTTCACCATTGTTTAGTTTCATTTATTTTGCGCAATATTCATTTATAATTTCAGACCCCGAATTTTGAAACAACCGAACCTAATGCATTGGACGAGTGGGATGGAGTTGACGATGAAGACTGCCGTATTAGCCATGAAAGCGAAAGCAGTGATTCCAGTTTTGGAGGCGAAGATAGGATTAGAAACGAAGAGGAGTTAAATAGAAAAGTTCAGCGTGAAGATTTTGGCGGTCCAGAGTTCAGTTTTGCAAACCTAGATGTCCCTGTATTACAAGAGGATACAGGAAAACCTCTGGCAAACCACAAAATGACAGCTCTCAAGACCGCTGATGCGGGAACTGCCATCAAAAAACAGTCGAAGATTTCGAGCTTCAATCTCCCAAAGTTCCTGCATTCGAGTGACAAAAGAGAGGATTTCTGCAGTAGAAAAAGCGTCCCTCAGGAGACGAAATTAAAGGTCAATTGGGAAGGATTAAGCAGTCATGAAAATGTCTCTCCCGCGAGGACTGCAGCCATATCCGGAAAAACTTTTCGTCTCCGCGAAACCGTCAAAGAGGCCGATCAAGTTTATCTCGAGTCAGCAGAACACGAAATTAAAAGATATGTTTCTCACGCATATCAGGGAGGCTATAACGGTACGGAAACTAACATAAACCAAGGGTTTAGGCAACAAACATTGATGAACAACGGCCACAAACCCATCAAAGATTGCCCTGTCAGTGACACTAGCAAGATCGCACACGAAAGCGATTTCAAGTCAAACAGAAGCTGTTTTCGCAACGGTGGTGGTGAAAATCAGGCTATTACGGCCGTCAATGGCTTCGATACAGCCTACAAAAGCATTCCACAGCAAAACAAGGGTCGCAAAAACGGAGAGACGCTCGTTTCTGAGATGACGGTGACATCGACTTGTGGTTCGGACGACCGTCATATGCCTCACGATAGCAGCAAGTCCTGGCGAAAACCGCTGATTGATCAAATCTTCATCACTGATGTAACATCGAACTTTGTCACAGTAACTGTCAAAGAATGCCTCACTGATAAAGGTTTCTTTCGCCAAAGATGAAACGCTAAAAAGCTCAGAACTCGGTCTAAAAACTTTTGTTCCGCAGCTCGAGTTAGCAGCAAATGACTTAGGCTGTTAACGATAGAACCTCCGAAAGATAAGCGTTTCTAAAGTGCCGTCTTTTCGAAGGCAAATCTCACAAATCTATTAGCTGGAAGAGGGCAAAAATTAATAGCTAACAAGTCCTTACTTTATAATATCACCGTCGTTGTGTGAAAGCTGTAGCATTGATTGCTCCCGCGACCACCAATGTCGTAGTTCGGCTGTTTGTAATGGTTGCGTTGGCGTTTGGTAATCTTAGTTTGGAGTTACTGTTGGATCCTGTTTAAGATCAGGATCTTTGGTTCACACAAGTCTCTTTAACTCCACAATACCTTAAGCTACTGTAAAGTATTAGCGTTCTTTTTTTTACGAAGGTTGTGCGCGAGTGGCGAGAATTAAGTTGCAGATTTATGGCGCTATAAAAGTGTGCCCCGCTGTTGATAGAGAAAGACGATCAGTAGCGGAGTCGAACTGTGACTGACTGACAGAGTGTTCTCAATCAGTTTAATATATTTTCTTATAGATAACTACTCGTAAGGTCCGTTAAACCGCTACGAATTAAGCTGGAGATTTCCTTGCGATGTTATATAAGCCGGCGTGTATAACTGCGCTTTGGACAAGAGTGTCTGCTCAGTCGTTTGTAAGTTTACTGAGCCGGTATTTATGTTCACATAAAAAACGGCATTGATTGAAAACTTTGCGAAAGCCAAACGATATTGGCAAATTTTCAGCTAAAAGTAGAGGATATTTTAAAAACAATACTCTTGGCGAAACTGAAAAGATGTAAATTAAGGTCTGTTAGTAATTCCTAGAATGTAAGTAATCCTTGATTTTTATTTAGTGATAGCCATCTACCATTTATTCGTTACGTTTTTTTGTTTCCCGAGAGTAAAATATTTCATTCGGCGAGTAAATAAAAATAAACTGCCTACTTATGTAGGTTTCATTTATTTGTAGGCCTAAAGCGGCCATTGAGTTGAAATTATGTACAGAGAAAAAGAAGAATAACATTTTAAAGGTGAAAATAAATTTATAGTTTACATGTACTTATGGACACCTTTTTTAAATTACGTGTGTTTTCTCCGCGATAGTTTTGAGAAATTTATTTCGTTCGTGGAATTTCACGTCTGTAGTAACAAATCGATATCGCCGTGCGAAATCAAGAGTTGAAGCGGGGAAAATGTTTATCCTAGCTGACCGATCTGCAATTGAGATTTTTGTGCGTTGCTTAAAATATTGAAGTGAATTGAAAAACGAGTATTTTAGAATTTGTCCGGCTGAATTTCTTTAATAATCCTCTGCCTCGTGGAGTATTATACATGGCAAAAAAAGAATCGATCACTGCGCAAAAAGTTAAATGATCGGCGAAGAGTTGAAGTTAATTAAAATCCTCCGCTGTATAACGTAGGTTTGTCCTCACTTGGGTTACTTGACTAATAACCAAGAATGTATTGACGTACGCCGCGCGCGTTTGCAATTTTTTTTAATAATAATTGTAAATAAAATACTGAAGTTGCCCCTGTCGAGTTACAGGAAATTTCGCAAGCAGAAATGTAACTTTCGATAGTTTTATGCCAGGATGTATCAACTTCTTAATTCCACGAGAATAACTGCGTATTCACTAGAGGCAAAAGGATGTAACCCGCGAAAGGAACGGTAAAAATTCGGCGAGAACTCGACAGGAACTTGTAGTTCGTAATTTTCATTTGTAAACATACTTCCCTTTACACGCCTGCCAAATAAGTCAAATATTTGAATAAAACCCAGATAAAAACCATCATATTGCAATGGCCAAATAAGTGCGTGTTTTTATCTACGATAAAAAGAAAAGAGATATTAAAAGAGATAAAAACGTTACGTTTTAGTAAAGCCTATAAGCATCATCTTTGTGTGTCATCATTAGTAATAAAAAGTTATGAAAGAAAACCAAGGCTCTCTTGTCAATCCTGATTTAGTAGAACGTTTTAAAAAGACCGATTTAAGAGATTTTTGTGGCAATTTTACAGGAATTGTACATTTTGTGTTTTAACTGTATATGCCACGTTTTCTCCTGGTTTGTCCGTAGATAATTTATCTCTTCTTGAATTGATATAGGGACAGAAGAACGCGGGGAGAGATTTTTTAAACCTTTTCCATTCAATATACCAAAAGAGGAAAAGGTTGAAAAGGGAAATTGTTATTTCGAGCGAGGAACTTATTCACGAGCTTAGTCAGTATTATTTTGGTCACACTTTTCCTTAGCTGAGCGACCTCTTCAGTCTTGTTAAATTTTGCAGAGAATGATTTAGCTCAATGGAAAGCTGATTAGAAGATGGCCAAGACAGTTTTTTCTAAGCTCAGACAATTACGGTAAACCGTCACTCATGTCATAGACGGAGAAGTTAAATTAAAAGACCAATGTCGTGTGGGTTTGTTTTTAATACCTTTCTTACACGTCAACTAATTCTCGTTGTTCCAAACCATTTTGAGTTCAGACTCAGGCGCAAGTACTTCACAAATATCTAAGCATGAGATACGAACTGGCTGTTCTTGATACAAAGGAAAAGTTTTAGTTTTCAAAATGGCAGCTGTATTTCTGCGTTGTTCGCCGGAATGCGGTCCGCCTTCGAATGAAAGACTTTTTAAAAAACACGCAGCGGTTCGGTTAAAAGGGAAAGAACCGATTCACGGTTTTACAGTAAGAGAGCTTAAGATTGAACGTAGATCCTTCAAGTTTGACTTAATAAGGCCGTACCATCTTAGTCATCGACTAGTACCAAAAACCACGACAAAAGTTCCCATTTTAAGTCAAAATTGGTCATTTTTAGCTTAGCCGTATGCTGCTTTATTTTTGCATGGAATAAAGAGGAAACTTTATTGTTTCTTTCACATTTCACTGAACGTTAAAGTAGCTGAGATAATTCCAGTAAGGCTCACGATCTTAGAAGGACTAGAAGTGTCAAGAAACTTAAACTAATGCCGTAGTAAGCAATGAACTCATATATCAGCTGTATATATCCCTTATTTGTCGAAACATCTCAAACCCTAGCAGTACCCCATATTATCTTCGTGTGTTTCGCAGTTTCAAATAAACAGTGACCTTCACGCGGTTCACTAACTTAAGTTACGCTTTACTCACTGCAGCTCTTGCGTAAAGAGTATAAACATGAAATGAGAAACTTAGCCAAAAATTAACTCATTAACAAGTCAATTCAGAAAATGAACTTTTTTTGCACTTGTCCTTTTCGGTCAAGTAGCCCCAAAACGCTTCTCACCACACGTTGACGCTGACGGCAGAACCCGGCGGCCTGATTTAGTTTTGGCCACAATGACTATGTTGACTGCCTCTTAAAAGAATCAAAAGAAATAATACACCATTGGCCTTTTACTTGAGATTATAGGCCACTCCAAATATCAGGAAAGTTTGTATTAGGAAAATGTCAAACATGAAGACGATAAGGTCCGTATTTGGTAAACACGTTTTGATAAGTTTGGGCGTATTCTTGCCGACATCTTGAACTACATACATCCGCTGTTGTATTGTTTCCTGCAAAAAAATAGCTTCCCGTTTAGGTTTACACACTAATAAGGTTAAGCTGTTTTCATCTGTTTTTTTCTTTCTACATGAAAGAAGCAAAAGGTTTTTGGGAGTATGTCGAAGTTCTGTTGAGTTTTGTCGTTTGTAAGGACTTATTTTTAGAGCTGGGGATTTGAAGCGGATTTCATGGATTATCTTTGAAAGCCCGGCTTTATCTCGGAAAATTTACAATACTTTCCCATTATCATTGAACAGCAACTGACGTGAACATCCATTGGAAATATCCTCCCCCTTAATTCAATGGTATGTTTCCTTTTGTGGAAATGAAGGTTGTTTACCAAGTTTACGTGGGCAAAGCGGTCGGTTTACGGTAAATGTTAAACAACTCTTTCGGGAATCGCATTTACCATTTAGACTTATTAACACAAATCCCTGCAAATTTAAAGCCCAAAACTGGTACCAAACTTAAGGTTTGACTAGAATGGAACTCAAATTTCCTTTTGGAACATTCCGACGTGACCGGACGATAAGAAAAGGACTAACTTTTCAGACGTCCCGTTCAACTCCGGGAAACGTTTCACTTGAACGACTCGAAAACAGGCGAAAACTGCGTCATCTGCCCTTTACTTTCCAACCGGAATTTCCTTAAAATTTTGTAGCGGAGCTCTTGCGCGCGTGAAGCGCGCAGCGGAGCACCATGGGTAAGAAAAATTTAGTTATCTACCCATCCAAGAAAATTTGGTTATGATGTCAGCGGTGAGGGAAGGGAATCAGGTGTCCGCCCGTCGGGGGGAAGAGTACGATATATTTTCTTGGCGGGAAATCGTGCGATGCATTTGTACAACGCGCGTTTTTTCTTGGTGGGAAATATCGCGCAAGAAATGGTGTGACCATTGTCGTCGTTGTTTACTTTCGGCATGGATTATCCATGCTTTAGGAACTTGTTTTTAAGTATTTCATAGCATAAGGATTTTGTGACCGTGACCGTCGAAGAAATTGCTATGGCAACAAACAATAGTGGGTTAAATTGCCTGAGTGAAGAGCGATGGGAAAGAGAAAGAAGAGAAAGGCAGAGAGCGAGAATTATCAGGCGAAGAGCTAGCGAAGAGGATCGCCGAAGAGAAGTGTCTATGCTGCATCTCAGTGGTTACTTGTTTACTGATAGTTAAAGCCGACAGGCTTCTATGTCATCTTATTATGTTTTAACCGTCTTTTGCAGTGGATCTTCTCAAATACAGCTGCTATCTGTTACTCTTGGCTGGCGTGTTTATTGGGTTTTTGGCTGAGAAATGCGCCGCTTGACAAAAAGTAAGCTTTCAGATATAAGCTTCTCTTAGTACTACGCCTTGCTGGATGCGTAAGAGGGCTGAAAAATCTTCATCTGGCCTTACTTGATCACGAGCTGCATCTCGACCGGTAAGTTTGAGTAATTACAGTATTTCATTTGATGTTTTTTTTCTGGTTACATGTTCATGAAGTCGAGCATTGTTTATGCCGTCAGTTTACGCACATTAATTTTGTAAGATTTGAGACAATGATCTGACCTAGAATAGAATTTAAAAAGTCTTTAGACATTTTCTGACCGCGACTAGAAAGAAGACGTTCTGAAGAATATTTAGATTATTTCGATAGGTTGTGAGCGTTTTTCTTGCCTCGAGTTCATTTTGAAATACAGCAACTGAAATACGGCGAAAATCTGCAAGGTTTTATTCATGACTCAGGATTTTCGAAGACACTTCACTTTCAATACATATCTTCGTGAATAAACATTGTTGTCCTTTCAAATGTTTCATTGAATTATATTACTTTCTTGTTTTGATTGTTTGTCAATCGCTTATCCGGTTGTTGTTTTCGGTCGTACATGAACATCGTATGCAGGAGAACTCAAATGAATATGGAGTTCAGAAGCAAAATGCACACGAAAATGATTCTGAAACCTCTTCCTACAAGTGTTCATTCAATCACTCAACAGCTCGCTCTGGAAGTTTGGAACCCTGGGGGGGGGGGGGGGGTATTTTGGGAACTTTTGGGGGGGGGGTGGCCCGTGGGCCCCTGAACCCTTAACCTTAACCAGAAGTGTTTCTTTTGAATTTTGCTCCCCTTTACCGAGGGATACCCCCCAAACCCCCCCATACCCAAAGGATGTTTTCCCCAAAATTCCTACCAGTGTTGTGTCACAGACTCCACGTCGCTGGGTGGGGGGTTGGGGGCGGGGGGGGGGGGGGGGTACTTTAGGAACTTCTGGGTGGGGATGTGCCGCTGGGACCCTGAACCCTTAACCTATACCAGAGCTAGTTCAGTTGAATTTTGCTACCCTGTACTAGAGTATACTCCCCAAATCTCCCCTATCCTAGAGTAGCTGTTTCCCAGAAACTGCTGAAGTCACTAGCACAGTCTAGCCAAAGCAAAACCTTATACAACAATCCTTAGTCTAGATAAAATCTTCAACCAACCGATCCGGTTTCCTGAAAAATGATACCCTATTCTAGACCCAAACGCTCTGATTTATATACCCTATCCTATAAAAAGGTTGATTTACGCGCTACCAGCACTAGAT